TAGAGAGTGCCGCCCAGACGGTATAATGGCTAGGGGAGCTTACTGCGGTACCAAAAGGGCCCGGGTTCGAATCACGGAGAAGGCATGGATGTTTGTAAATGTATAGTGTCTTTGCGGAATGGGGGCATTCTAAATACACGACGAGCCGAAAGTCTCTTGATAGGTTGGTGGTAGGGGAAGAAGGGTGGGAGACCTTTGGACCTGTCCCACCGGGGTGCTCTCCATCAAAATTGGGGCGAAACTGAGTGAAGTCATACTCTCAGTTTGTATGGTGCTCAAGGCTGTTGCCAACGGCAGGCGCAACCTTGCTCTCCTCGCCACGATGAATTTCGGGGGCTCGTTCTGATGTTACTGTCAGACAAGTGAGATAAGTCAGAACACAACATAAATTTAAGATTCGAATAATGAAAAAAATTGCGATGTTCGAACTTTCGAATCTTCAATCTTTCGTAAGACTCGTCAGATGAATGTCCCATATTTAATCAATTGTTTTAGTAGCTAAAGGTCTTGCTTTAACTTACTCTTAGTGACAGAGAACGATCTGAATAAAATGCATTTAAACAAATCGAAATGACGCAAACTAATATTTTAAAATTATTTATATCAATCAAACAATATCGCATTTAAAACAAAAAATAAAAATAAATTGAACAATAAAAAATAAAATATTCAAATAACATAAAAATATTGAGATTAATTTCAGGCAAAATGTAAGAAAAAAATACTGAATCGGTGGAAAAATTGTCAAGAGATTAGGTTGGCTTTTATTGCTAGCACTGAGATGCCAACCAAGAACATGATGGATTTACTTTAATAATTAATTTAAGTACATCTGGAATTACGCGTAGCTTTTGGAGTACGTCTAGAGTTACATTCGTTTTTAATCGGCTTTTCAGATTCAGGTTTGATACATTTATTTCCGAATATAATACTTTACAGGGATATCTAGACAAGGAAATTGTTAAAATATCGTGCCACATTTTTTTCTACATTTAAAACTTTCTGCATAATTTTTTTAGCAACCAGTACTCTATAGTTTGCTTGATCATTGTGCATAATTATATATCTTGCAAAGGCTTCTTACCCAAATAGTGAACAAACGGCAGATTTAGCTTGCTAAAAAACTGAAATAAATAAAAAATAGAGAAAAAGAAGCGAAAGAAATGAAAAAGACGGAGAATTTTTGAAACGGAAGTTGATAAGGCATGTGTTAGATATCAAACTGACATCGGCCTTCACAGAAGGGAGAGACTCATTTATTTGCGAGGTCATGCCTTTAAACCTCATGCTGACAGTACTGTGAAGAAAGAAAACAAAAAACGTTCGCAGTTCAAATACCCCTCAGTTTTCCGGGCTTCTGATTTAGTAATTATATATTGTTTCAAGTGCTGGCATTAAGGAAGAAATTAAACTGTGTTAAATTAGTGATTCATTTCTCAAGTGCAGTTTTACTTGACGTGGGAGCAAATAAAATTACATTAAAAAACTAAATTTAAAATGTTATGCTCTCAATGGGTTTTTGTCCTTGTAATAAGTGTGTAAAAGATACGTTTTGCATTTTTAATGAATTATTGAATTTATGATCCAAACATCTAACATCACTGTTGTCAATAAGCTGTTTGCATTGTGGGTTAATCAAAATTTTAATTATTCCACAGTTAAAGGCAACATTAATAAACATGTTATATTATTTCTCAAAATTAAATTTCAGGGGCTAATATTTGTGTATTTGGAAAATACAATGAATATTTTAAGTGTTCGCAATCAGGATCTATTGCATGAAAATTATTAAATTTTATTAATCGGAAAAAATATAACCTGCGGGGTGAAATAGATAGGTTAAAGGTTTTTTTTAAAAAAATTCAGCAAGTTTTGATCTCATTTTTTTTTAAAGCAAAAAACTGTCAATTCCTTTTTTAAACTTAGTTGGGTTCGAAACTACATTTACTCGCAACAAAACACTGATTTTTCAAAACCTATTGAAATAAAATTAAATGAAGAGTTTTAGGGTGATACGTAATATCATAACACATGAATGAAAACTGAACAGTTGGATATGAATCCTTTACGATACAAAACTATGTTATGAAACAAAACTAAAGGAAAAAAACCATGAAACTGAAAGGCTATGTGACTGCAATAGTTTCGAATAAAAGTGAATACATCGTAAATAAATACAAACAACTGACATGAACAGAGAATACGATCTGCCCTAGCTTGTACGCGCATATCACAATGAGATTTGGTGTTCTCAATAAAGTGGTCAATAATAAGAGTTTGTGAAAGTATGATCTACTGCCTCAACCAATATGGTATGCAGGTTACTGACATCTCTGTGAGAAGACTTTCACTTGCAACAGCTCGTTTAAGGATACCCCGTAAGGTCTGTATAGCACTGAAATCAGGAGACTTGTCTGATCCAGTGTATTCGCTAAATCTTTCGATTTCAAAAAATTCAGCTAGTAGATTTGCTATATGTGGTTTCGCGGTTTTATCCATACAAAGAAGGTCATAAGGTCTTAAAATGCTTTACGTGCTCTTCTTTTAAAATACCTCAAGGCAAATACACATCCTCTGCCAAACAGCTACATGAAGGTACAGATGTTGATCATTATTCGTCCTATACCATCACCTCCGTACAGTAGTAAAGTGTTTATGCAAATGTTATTTGTGCTGCTAGCTATCTTCATTCTCGCTTTTAGTATTTAATGGTGTATTTAATTATGGCAAAGCACACTAGGGCTATCTGCCTAAGGGGAGGAGTGCCTTCGTGGAGGACTTTCTAAGGGAAACTGGCTCGTATACACGTTACACATGGGGAAAACCACGAAAACGCCATGCAGCCAGCCCGTTCGCGGGATTCGAACCTCGGACCGAACTACCAGTGTTCAGCGACTTTTACCGCTCGGCCGCTGGTGGGCGCTCTCACTTTTAGAATCAAATATTAAATTAGACCTTCACTCGTCACTGAAAAAAAAAACAGAGCCTTGATAGAGACATCAGCCATGAAGCTCTCTACACCTTCATGCTGCCTTCTTTTGTAATGATGTCGATAAAATACAAACCACTGGCTTTATTATGCCTTCAGTATAGGATTTGTTGAGATGCATTAAGTTTCAGTGGCGGTTTCAAACTCTAAATACTTGTAACTAATTTTCTGTTTCGATTAGAAATTACTTTATTCCGACTTCCTAGATACAGTCTCAAAGTAATCAAATTATTTCCTAAGAACTTGTCAGTTTTAAAGAGTTTTAGCTCTCTTGCAACTTCCATAACTGTCTGTTCTACCTTTGAAGGACAAGCAGCTCTTTCTCTGAAATGTTCTTCAGAACGATACATCAAAGAATCTTAAAAAATTGCTTGTACCCGAGGAACACTGAAATCAAACAGTGAATAACAGAAGTTTGCGAATAAACGAAAACTGTGCACAACGCTCCTACGCCACCTTTCAGTGATACCTTGCCATTATTTGCATTCCAGAAAAGGAAAGATTGATCAAATTAGATCACGTAATAATTACGTCCAAATCAGAGCGTAAATTAGATCTCGGAATAATTTGTCCTTTTTCATATTCATGAAAAAATAAATTAAACTGACTGGTTCATACAATTCTGTTAAAGGAATGATTCAGAAACCAGTTAGTTTTATTAGCTAGTAAATAAGTAGGAGATAATTGATGCTGATATAACTTTTGTTTCAGATCACCTGGTAAAATGGTTTGTGATTTAAATTACAGGTTTTTTTTTAATTTAACAGAAATTATTATTCTTTCTTGCATTTGTATAATTCTTTCAGTGCTAGTGTGTTTAACCGCAGTGGCCATGATGTGGCGTGAGGTTTAAGAACGCTTAGAAATGCAAAATTAAAATTCTATTAGAACTTTCATTCAGTATTAGGAATAATATCATGGCTTTGCGACGTGAGAAAGCACACTTTTAGAACTTGTTTGTTGCTAAAGAATTCTTTAAGATGCGGAAGTAAGACATGATCGAACCAAGTTTGGAAAATTCTTATTAAGGGAATTGTATTAAGATACTTGGAATAGAAGTTAGTATAAACGAAAGAAATCTCTTTCAGTACCCCTAAAAATTTAATAAAGATTATAAAGCAGAGGGGAGAATCTATCTGAAAGAGCGGGATAACTGACTGTATAAAGTAAAATCCAAATTTTTATTTAGGAGCACGTTATGACTGATATCAAGACAAACGGCACAATATATTTTGGATATTTAAAAGAATAATTTAGACTAATAACTTTTTGGAATAACTTAGAATTACCTCTCATTTATAGATTATTGCGATTATTATAATAAAACGTCTATGGAGTTTTCTATTGCAATTTCAAAAATAAATTGATGCAACACCGAGGATGATGGAATTCTTACGTGGCAAAAAAATGGGTGCCTGCGTTACCTTTAGCATGCTAAAGATCTATGGACTTTTCGCTGCAAAGGAGACGCCTATTTTCTATAGTTCTTATTTTTTTTCTTTTCTATAGTTCTTTTCTAATTTATTCTTTTCTAAGGTATAACTTATAAATAGCTGTTTAATTTTGTTTCTAAACTGAATTTCCGAGCGAAATAGCAATGAGTTTCGTTTTCCGATTTTCCGGTTCCCTAGTTTAGTTTATTATGGCAAAGCACACTAGAGCTGTCTGCCTAAGAGGAAGGAAGGATGTCGTCGTGGAGGTCTTTCTAAGTAAACTGGCTCATATACACGTTACACATGGGAAAATCATGAAAACGCCCATGCTCTTTCGCCTAAAATCGAACCCAGGCCAAGAATGAGTTTCAATGATATTCAAATGTGCATATGCTTTACTTACCCATTGAAGTTCTCCTTCGTTTATACATTAATAAGTATTGTTTAAAATTACATTTTAGAATAACTGAATGAATTCTTAAGCAGGAAAACTTCTAATTTTTTTCCATACAAAAGCAATTATCTTTTAATTTTCTAATTTTTAATTATTTATATCTTTATTTTATTATTTTCAATAGATGACGTGACTACATGCCTTTTCGAAGGCGTGCGTTATGTTGATCAAGAAGAATGGAAACCCGACGCCTGCACCTCTTGCAAATGTTACTTAGGTAATACAGTTTGCGATACGGAAGAATGCCCTGATTTGGTTTGCAGGACTCAGAAATATGTACCACTGGGAAAATGCTGTCCCGTATGCGCAGGTAAGTGTAGAAGTTTATCTTTCGACCACTGATACATGTACAGGACGTTAGATTACTATCACTAAAGTCGCCTGACACTCACTAAATATTGATACATCTCCTGAATGTTTAGAGTACTGCTTTTGTGTCCGTTATTAGAGTACTGTTTTTGCGTCCGTTATTAGAGTACTGTTTTTGCGTCCGTCATTTATAAAAATTAGCATTTAATACTAATAGTACTGCTTTTGCGTCCGTTATTAGAGTACTGTTTTTGCGTCCGTCATTTATAAAAATTAGCATTTAATAACTTTCCTATCTTCAAGTAAAATATAGTAACTTTACAAGTTTCTAGTAGTTCCTGTCTCAGAGGTTTACTCTGCAGCTTCCAATACGCATTTCTTATGCACGGCTTCAACATTTGCACATTAGTAACTGAAGACGAATTTGCAGTCAGATCTCTGAAACTGGTGCTTCATGTTATACTAACATTATGCCAATAAAGGTTGCTAATTTTTATCCTCTTTCAGATAAAGTATATTTATGTTTTGTTGCATATGAGTGTAATAAATAAGCGGCTAGTTAAGCTGTACATACTTTTTGAATAACACAAAGATTCTAATCCTCTTTCGAATGACACAGCAATCACTACGTCAAGAAATGCTCGTAGTTTTTTCGCAAAACTGGTTCGTCTCATTTGAAAAGGCTGCAGCATTAAGCAAAATTAAGCAATTAATTTATGATTTTCTTTGTTAGTAGCATAAATATTAGTTAATTTCCCTTGTGAAGTCCTTTGCTAAATTATACGTTTTATTAGATAGGTGACTTTGCATTGTTAAAAAAAACTAACTTTTTTTAGTGACCAGTATATGCCTCTACCTGCAGAAGATCATTGTTGGAAGCTACAACATAGTGTTGCAAATAACAGTATACCTCCTATAACTTAGAATTTAATTAAGACTTGCATTATTCAGATCACTTTGTCAGATAAGCCTTGATCCCAATGGAAGAAAGTTAACAAATTCCAACAACGATGGAGTTCAAGCAATGTGCGAAAAAAACACCTGTAGTAACCGATGTGTGTGGTTTTTCTCCCTATATGATTGACAGATTTTAATATTTTCATCAATGAACCTCCCTACATGATGTAAATGTACACCTGTTTCTCTTAAAAGGTGTTATAATCTTCCTCTGAATCTCTCACTTTAAAAAGGCAGCTATAGAGTGCTTTGTTGTAATTAATTACCTTGTCTAACGTATGACACTAGATAGTCGCAATGATGGCAATTTTCGAGAAATCGGTTATACCAGCATTTAGTACTTAATTTTTTACTTTAAAATTAACTGCTTATTTATTACTGAAGTGTATTTCCCAATTTATGAGTTTTTCTGTTCTACCCTGCTCTGCCAACTTCTAGAACCTTAAACACAGGCAAACAATCGACTTATTGGTCCGTCGTGCCTTTCTAAATACAGCAAACATAAGCTCATGTGAAGGTTTAAAATAATTTTTCTTATTTACTCATCAACCTGACGATTACACAAGCTATCCAATAATAGAAACTAAAAATCCGCTATTAGCGGGAGACATGTAACAAATGTTCTAGTCATATTAAAATATGAAATAAAAAGTAACACTGCGCTACTAAGCTTTGGTTCAGGCCTACAATAGTTCACGATGCAGAGGCGACTAGTGAAACTAAGGTCTGTAAATCAAGTCAGCAATGGCCGCTAAAGTTATCGCAAAATCAAAAACTCTATCCTGAAATATAAAACCTAATTTACATCCTGATGAAAAATAGAGGTAGTAATACAAACAAAATAGTAAGATAACTGTGTTAATTAATATAACACCTTACAAATTTACATTGGCAAAAGTATAATTTTAATTCTAATCTGCAAATTCTCTTTCTACTTATTTGGAGCACTTCCTTGAATCTTGATGAAATTATAATTTTCTATTTATTTCTTCAGCCATGAGCTAATGAACTATTAAGCAATTATTTCGTATATTCGAGTCCTCAAACAGAGTAAATATTTGATATTCCTTGCATTCCCCTGTTAGTTTTGTCATTTCCCTCATCTCACATTTCGTGAAGGATTTTTATCTACTTTGCGTTTCGTAAAATTTAATCTCCAGTGTTCTTTGATATTGCTGAGAAATTACTCTTACCACAGATGTATGGAATAATTTGTAATAAATGCATACTGAGGAAAAACTACTAAGTTACTTTTACATAACATGTGCCTTTTAGAACCATATGTGTAATCTCATGCTATAATACTGATTGCATAATAATTTTTATTTCGTTTCAAAACGCACACTATGCCTGAGGTTAATGAGCATTTTGATCTTAGAAACCAGTTGCTCCTTCTCTTTTTGCGCTGCTTGCAGCAATTGCTTCGCAGAATACACCTTTAATGGAAAGACTGTAGATTCATTTAGGATTTTTGAAGCAGGGATGGTGAAAATGAGCAATGCCCTAGCCGGGACTCGAACCTGGACCTCTTGAATACGCGTCGAGTGTGCTACCGTTACACCACGAAGGCATGCAAAAATTAGGGAAAAAATACCTTATGTACTCCTCCCTTTTAAAGGCCGATTGGGAATTGTGCTACAGTTACAGCACGGAGGCATTCAGAAAGAAGGGAGAAAATATCTTATAAGACAAAAAGATAGAGTTCAGAATTTGAAATCCTAAAATGCAGTTGATCTATGTTAAAAATTTCTACTTAATGCTAAGTGGCTGGATAGCTAATAGGTTTTTTTTTTCTTAATTTAAGATATCTATGTATACCTTACAGTTTGCAAAATATTGAAGGCTTTGGCCTTGTTACCTAAAATTCATTGCAAATTTATATCTGCGTGTATGATATTATAATTTTCCTCTATTGTATCGGATCTTCCTTTAATTTAAGCCAAAAATGTTATAAATTTCTCATTTGTGGGTATTTCCGCTCTTGCAAATTTAACTTTTCTTTCAAGCTTCATTACAATAAATAGTTCAATAATCTGGGAGGAAAGGTGTATTTAATTATGGCAAAGCACACTAGGGCTATCTGCCTAAGGGGAGGGATGCCTTCGTGGAGGACTTTCTAAGGGAAACTGGCTCGTATACACGTTACACATGGGGAAAACCACGAAAACACCCATGCAGCCAGCCCGTTCGCGATTCGAACCTCGGACCGAACTACCAGTGTTTAGCGACCTTACCGCTCGGCCGCTGGTGGGCCTAATCTGGGAGGAAAGAAAATACACTTTTGCTTCGCCGTTTTATTTACTATAAAAAAAACTTATTAAAGCAGCATTAACTGATTTTTTTTTACACTGATGACTAATTTTATTGATAGCATCACGCAATTTCACACACATATTTGGTGATTTTTCAGGTAAAAAGTTATAGCTAATTAAAATAAAAATTTATCTTTTGCTGCACTGTGATATTAAAACCATGAAATATTTTGTTAAAATTATTTTCACATATTTTCCACTTTAAAATTTATCCTTTTTAATCCTTTCATCTTTCATACTATATAATTTAAACTTAATTAATGTACATTGTATCCACAAAAGTCCTTTTGTGGCCTTTAGATTTGCAACCCCTTGTCGTACACATAAACTTCCGACTGCAAAAACGTTTTAAATGTCACAAATATTCATGTTTCCGCTTTATTAAATTTAAAAAAATTTTTGTAAAAATAAAGAAATCTAACACATCATACGGTCCGCGATCCTTATGTGCAGAGTTAACAGACTTTCCAAATTATATCTATTTCTACGAAAAAGTATTTATTTCAGAGGCGACACAGGACTACTACAGCTACATACATATCACGTGAGCTGTATACTGCCACTGGATCCTGAGTTCTCACGGTCTACACGTTTAAAATTAAGAAGCTTGCATTTAGAATTTCATTGCTATTTTATGCTCTTACATGCGAAAAATAAATGAGTATTATTACTTAAAGATTTTTTAAGCGTTCTTATAAAAATTTCTTGAAGCATTTCTTCAAAATATTTAGCCTCTTAAAACTAATAAAGCACGTCATATATTTGTTACCTAAAAGTTTTAATTTTGTATAAATTTAAAATTTTCTAATTATAAGTATTCATACCTGTAACTTAATGAATTCATTTTTCTCTTAGTCGAGGTTGGCTTTCACTCGTTTGATTAACGGTTTGAAGTATAAACAGCAATGCGATATGATGTTTCTCAATTTAACTAGACACAGGATAAGCGTTTTAGCTAACACCAGTTTTCGCAAAATATGCTTTGCTAATAAAATCAGAGATTTTACTTCTATCCCTTCGAGATTTATTTGAGATTTTCAAGATCCACATTCCCCTATGTACTTGGTTTGCAGCCCACGTACGGTAGATTAACAGAAAACTCTTCAAGAATTCAGTTTGTAGTTGTTAACTACAAAAGGACGATTGCACATGACTTACACTAATTACATCCTCGAAAATCATATTTCAGAGAGCGCTGTGAAGAATTAAGCTAACTGGTTTCGCTTTTATTGATTTCCGGAATAATGCGCTTTTATAACTTTTAAATTAATGTCGATATTTTAAGTGGTATACAAATTTTGATTTCCCAAGGTAATTATCTTCAGAATGGTGTACTTTTTATTATATTGAAGTTATTACGTTCTAAAGCAGGTTCAAGTATTCAAAATGCATACTTATAGGTGCTGTATTGCAGATTTGAACTAAAGTTACACGTATATGCCTATGTGCTACTATTGACACTTTTTTTGAAAGAGTTCTTTTTATTTATCGAGCTAAGACATTTACTATTTGCATTTTCTGAATAGATGAAATAAAGCTCATCTCTAGAGATTAATGATCATATGTTTGTCTGACTGGCACGAAACAAAAAATTAATTTTACAGGGCGCACCAAAATGATCAAGAGCATTGGATTTCACTTGAAAAATTACTTACATTATCTATATTTACTGGTTAACTGATTGTTAAAATTTGCTCTGCATGATGTTTGTAAGAATGAACTTGAACTTTTAGGGGCAGTCAGTGAAGCAAAAATTGCGCTCGTTAAGTAGAAAAAGTGAAATTTTTCATATTTCTGTCACATATTCTATAGTTCTTTATTGCGTTCTATGTATCACATGTTATCAGAATCTAAGAAAACTGCAAACTGAGACTATAGTGTACATTTAATTTGGTTATTCCGATCTCTTATATTTAAATTTCATGCGTATTCAAGATATCGCATTTAAAGTTTAAAACTCATACATTAACTAAATAATCTGGTAGGTAATTTATTACTACAAAGGGGTACAGAGCTACATATTTTGCAATATTCATCGAACACCCATGAACATATTCATATTTAACACATCGAAACAAATACTGCTTCATAAGTTATCTTCATAGAAGAATGCTTTGGCTTCAGCTTTTCCATTTAAAATGTGAGAGACACTAATCCCATACAAACACCTACGTCTAAAAGAGTTGCTTTCATCACCACATCAGAGATAACAGACGAAGTTATTATTAATTACTAAGCACAGATGTTAAAAGTAATAAACTTGTTGAAATTATGCTAGTTTAAAAAATTTGGAAGCTAGAGTTATCTTTTGCTTTTGTAGGATAGATAGGTCTTGTCCTAATTAAGTTACATGTTTAAAAAATTTAACGTAAATTATGAAGGTAAATGAAGGTGTGAAAACATTCAAAATAAATTCAAGGCTAATTAATTTATAAAGTATTTTCTCCCTCCTTTCTGTATGCCTTCGTGGTGTAACGATAGCACACTCGGGCGTATTCGAGAAGTCCAGTTTCGAGTTCCGGTGAGGGCACTGCAAATTTTTCATGTCTCCTGCTTCAAGAAAACGTAATGACTCTACAGTGGCGCCCGAACTAAAAGGTGAGGAATGATGATTCTTCACCACCAGGATTTGGCGAGTGGGTCTCCTAATCCCCAGTCGCCCTTTAAAAGGGGGATATATAAGGTATTTTCTTCAGCTGGAGGATTTTTTTTAATCCAGTAAATGCAATAATGATTTTAATTTGGTCATTTATCAGAAGCAGTTTCGTCTGTTTGTGTTGAAGAAGTGTGTTAAAACTCAGAATGAAATGTTGTGTTTTCGAACCCTGGAACCGAACTACCAATACTCGACGACTTTACCGCTCGGACGCTGATGGGTTCTCAACCTAAAAACAAGAAGACATACAAAAACAGGATGATGATTTAAAAATGACAGGTTACCTGCATGGTACTCTGTTGCTTCGAAACGCTTTGCATATTGCCTAAATTGAGTTGCACGAATTGAAATTCGAGTGTTTCAGACTATGGAGGAAATTTATAATGGATTAGATTTTAAAGTAGGAGGCAGAAGTATAAAAGCTTCTTCTGATGAAGCAAATGAGCCTTCAGTGTGTAAAAGAATACTTGATGCTGTTTCACACGAAAAAGCCTGTATTTAACACATTCGGATTCTGGATAAGGGAATGAGGAGTATTTCTTTAAAATGTAAAATATAGCAGAAAGATATAGCAGACTTTTTTTTAAAGTGCATTATATTTCTGCTGTACGCGTGCTTAAAGTATAAAATGAGGTTATTATAAGAATAATAAACTTATTGTAAGCTATGTGAGATTGTTATATAATATCTGATAATCACAAACAAAAAATTTTAACAATTTTAATGGATATCATGTTTAAAGCTAAATTACGAAGCGTCCTTGGTTTAATGACGCTCCTTATTAACGGTATTTTATAAACATCTTGAAAACCATTATATCAGTGTTTTGCCTATATTTTCATCACGGGCAATATTTCCCACGTTAACCTAGAAGAGCAAAACCGTTATTTTCTTTGATTCGGTTTAACAAAACAGGAAACACTATTATTATTTTAGGAAAACACTATTATTTTTATTCTTTTGATAAATCTCGTATTATATTATCAATAATCGGAATCATTTTTTAAACAGTATAACGAATACATAATTATATTCTGAAATAAAATAACAGCTCGAATAACAATTACTGAAGTTGTTAAGGCAAAAAGAATCAACGAATCAATTCATCAATTTGAAGTAAACTGAATTTAAAGTAAATATTTTCTACAATTTTATGTATATTACGCTGATTCTTGTTGCCTTAATTATATTGTCCAGTAACTTAATTATATTGTTTAAAGGCCATAAAATTGCTGGTACTTAAATATAAATACGAGTATTAATAACATATAAAGCGACTATTAAAAGCAATAAATCTATGCATACTTTTTACAAAAAAAGCTTTAATTTTGTTAACCCTTTTATTTCAGATGACGATGCCGTATTTGGCCCAGAGGAAACTGTGAGTCCGGTAAGTAAAATTCAGATTTGAGGATTGATTTTCATTTAAACCAAAAACGGACATACTTTTTCTTTTCTTAACGGACATAATTTCTTTTTTCTTTTTGGATATTCACTAATTAAGATTTGGGAAGCGTTATAGATAATTATTATTACTATGCAACAAATGACACAATTAAGTTTGAAAAATTACGCGTACTTAATGCATTGACTGTGGACATTAAAAAGGTCTGAATACGTTTCAAGATTGGTTGATGACCTCGCTTTGATCAGCAGCTATGCAGGAAATACCAAATATGGAAAATGGTGAAGCAGATATCCCTCACGAGCTTTAATTCAGTCGAGGATGTTAATGAGTGGAAAATTTTCAACCCGTCTCTTAAAAAAGAAAAGTGAAGAATAAATAAATTATGAAAATCATAGCTGCTTAAAATGAAGAAAAACAGTTAGGGTGGAAATTTAGTTTCAAACTAACCTCCAACTATTCTTTTGTTTTACAAAAAAAAAAAAAAAAAAAAAAAAGTTTGTGATTCGTTTAATAAAATATATTCATTCCTTTTCTAATTCAAAATTCCGGTGTCCGGTGTTCTTCCTTAGCCTTGAAAAAGCGTTCAATTTTTTTTTTTTTTTTTTTTATTTGGGTTTTCCACCGCTGTTTAATGGCGATGACATGTGGAAGGTTATAATCGTTCTTGAAATACACGTGGATTGTTCTAATAGTTAAATAATATGCTAAGTAGAGTTGTCAAGTTTTTGATAATTTATGTTGTTTTGCAGTTAAAACTATATTGAGACTGTTCCGATCACGTAATACATTACGGGACGTCACGACTTATGGCGTACTTGCGAGCAATACATGCGGTATTCAATCTTTAAAATCCCATACACTTCATTATCCAAGTGCTCATCATCATCTTCCTCTGTAACTTCATTTTCAGTATCAGATATCTTTCAAATATCGATAATTCATTATCAAAATTTATGAAACTAGAAAAATGAACTTTAGTTATTGCTGTTACTGCTTTCATATACAGGATTTGAAGGCAATTTCGCTTCTTCAGCAAAATAAATATCTGCCGAAAATAAACACTTGAGAAAATTACTAATTTATCTTCTGTGCTCCCTGTTCAAGTTAAATTGTGTTATTTATTCATTGTGGGAATTTGGAAGTTAAAATTATTTCCTCGCACTAATTTATTTATATTTCAATTTGGATTTCCTGGAAGCTTCAGAAATTTTCAGCACAACAATCTAGTTAATGACATAGCATCCCTTTCGCTCTTATCGAAGCGAGGAGAAATCTGTTTCAAAGCTTGCACATCTCTTTTTTCAATTTAGCAGTCTACCTTGCGCATGAAGCACTATGACTTCTGCTGTGTTTGTCGTAGCAACAACACTTTGATATTGTTGGATCAGCACCAAAAAAACTAAAATCAGTAATATTTTTCATCATTATTTGCACTAATTTTTGCGTTGAACTCCTTTTTGTTTATTTTAATCTGCTCAAAGTTTTTTTTTAAATTATTTCATGATATCTGCTTAACATCTCCAGCTTGAATAGTATCAGCTGCAGTCTGTTGAATCAAAAAAGTTAGCTCGCTTCTTCATCACTCTTTTTTGTAATTCATTTTGAAAAGGAAAATGATACTTTGGTCTGTCAGGTTCAAACTCGATGCAGTATTTGGAAGTAGAAAAGAACTGTTACATTTTCCAGTCTCAGATTAAGTTTGAGCTAACAATACAGCCTGTTTTTTGATTTCCTCACCGGAAAATCGATTGACACCAGCTATTCCTTCGAAATATTTGATATCATTCAAGCATGCGCGTTTATTTTGTAGTGTATCAGTTATTATTTTACTCTTTTCAAACTTAGGAGATTTTCTGATTTACCGATTATAAATAACAAGGTCACATTTCAAGTTATTTTCTTTCGGACATAATGAAATTATGTTCTTTCGGACATAATGAAATGATTATGTTCTTTCGGACATAATGAAACATAAAACTGCTAAGTCTATTTTGCGGAATTTTCGATGGACAGCCTTTTATCTACAAATAGATGAAACTCCTTCTTGCAGTCCCTATGATAAAAGGCATTTTCATCACAATTAAAAAAAAAAAAAATCCACGCGAAGTTGTAATTTTTTAACAAAGCAGGGAATAACTCTAGCATTCGCGACTCTGATATCATCGCCTTTTGCTGCGCCGTTAAATTTTTTTAACGAGATTTAGTGTGTTTTTCTTTCCCCACTTCCATTTCTTCCCATTTGAAACTTAAAATCTAAAAATATTCAACATTTTTGTTCGTTTTTCTGTTTTATATCTCATGGTTAAGCGACTAACCGGAACATGGCGAAATCTGTTCTCCATTAAACCACGATCCGCAAAGGAAACCTCTTCGAGGTCTTTATTGTTTTCAGTTTGCAATAAATAACATTCGTAATAGGATGTTGTTACTGAACAATGATGCATAAAATATTTCATTTATTACTTTCAATATTGCGTAACTGCTCTGCTGAGTATGCCATTAACCATTATAAAAGTCACTTTACTTGTATCTCTTAACAATATTTTTCATCAAGTGCCACTTTGTTCCATGAAAGTCATAAATAAAACGTATTTGTATTAACCCATCGCTGGTAAATTGTAAATTGTAATTGTGTTTTTTAACTCTGCTTTTTGGTGCTCTATTTTCTGCATCTAGTTTAAAATATGGCATTTGTAATGAAATTTTATGGTAGCATACAGATTGCATTTCTTTATGTTATTTCCGTTTTAAATATTTCCGTTTTAAATATTGTTCTAACAGAAATGTTCTTTTTTTATATTCTGAATTTTAATACTTTTTTGTTCATTTAAGAAAATGCAGAAACAAAAGTCCGATTAAGTTAGATATTAATTTCATTCATTAATGAATACTTAATTTTATCAGTTCACAACAGCATACCTTATTTCTGTTTAAGAAGAAAAGCGAAAAATTTATAAGGGCTATTAATCTCGAAACGGCATTTTGCTTCAGTTCACTATGAACTGCGTATCACTTTTAAAATTGTTGCCACCAAATATTATCGTCCTGTATTATAGTTAAAAATATTAAATAATAAAGAATCTGCATGAACGTATGTATGTTTATCGCATTGTGAAAAAAATGACCTAGACCCTCAGATTCTGAAAACGTAATCCTCCACCCGAACATGGGCACCTGGAAACCAAAATTTTGAATTTCGTGTAGTGGCCCGTGAAGTTCTAAGGGGTGACGACCGCTGGTCTATATCATATGACTTGCATAACACTGACGACGTAGCTAATTCGGAAATTAAAATTTCGAGAACTGAATTTTTTCCCAGGGTATCCATATTGGCTTCCATATTGGCATTTTTGCCATATTGGCTTCCATATTGGCATTCCATATTGGCTTCCATATTGGCATTTTTGCTTCTAGCTCTCTTGCCGTTAAAAGGCTGGAGCGTTGCCTTTCTTCCTGTCGCAATAGTATCAAAAACGTTAATGTTCTTGAATAGACATGATTAGAATGCCAGGTAAATTGTGGCCACAAATGTCAGTTGAGATAAAGAATAAATAATAAACTTGGCAGGCGAGGATATTAATCTTCCTCGGCTGCCAAGTTTGCTTTTCAGTATGAATCAACATACTACGCAATCAAAATTCTGAATGTTTTTAATATATCTACAATATATATATATATTATATATATATATATAATATCTTGTGTCAATAGTCCAATCTCAGAGTGGAACAGAGTCAATAGCCGAAATTTATTTTACTCTGAGTGATGAGAATGGCTTGTAATATACAAAGCTGGACTGCTGAGACTGACCCCTTTCTGATCCACCCTGTAGCTCTTCGCAAATAATCCAGATAGCTTGCCAAACTGTTTCAAAATATATATTAAAATATATATATATTATCAAATTAATTGTACTTTTGTGATTAAACAAATGCTGAATGTATTTTCGCTTTTCAACTTTCTTCCTAAAATTGTTCTTAAAAGTGAAATTTCTTAAAGCATACGTTCATAAAGCCGAGACTCTGTGTATGCAAATTTTAGAGTTTTGGAAGGTTCTGCTCATGTATTATCGAATTCGTATACGTAATTACGCTTTTAATGCTGGAGATAAGAGCTCTGAAACTCGAAGCCAGTCGCACTTTTTGCGTCTGCTAAATAAACTCTTTGCAGGGATTTCTCGTGTGTTTCACAGTTAAAGGACGAAGTAAAGATAAATTTGAGCAACTAATCTTGAGGGCCAGTGGGAAGTTCAAGTATAGATTCCATATATAAACAAAAGTTGTACACATATTTTAACGAAAAATGATAATGCTTTATTATTTTGACTATATTATTTTATGTCAGTAAAAATATAGTATCGTACTTTAATTTCAGTCAAATAGAAACACTTATGCGTTTTGTTTTACGCAAATAGAAATTTCTTTTACTTTCATTTATTAGAAATAGAAACAATATTGTGTTAATTTTTTGGACCTCTTGAAATAAAAGCGAGTTTCGCAGTTTGATTTTTTTATCAAAAATTATTTTTGTGCTTAAAACAATAATTTCATTGTCTAGATTTCATCAAAATAACTGTTTTCCAGTTTGCATATTAAAAAACGCAAATTCTTATCATTTTTATTGTTTCATTTTTAATCTTTGTTGAAGTAATAAATCAGAATAAATCCAAAATAATAGTTCACCGAGTACATAATGAGCGTATTCACATGCAAATTTAAGCACATGCATTCATGTGCCCAAATAATGTTCTTCGCCTAAAAACTGAAAAAAAGAAACAACCCAATTTTCGTGATTTTTCGATAATATAAATGAAATATGGTCCCACTTAGCCCTTATAATTAGAGTTTTTTTTACTTTAAACTGGATAAAATCCAGTGGCGTAAATAAGGGTATGCAAGGAATGCAGTCGCATAGGGGCCCGAAGGCTTAGGTGGCCCATGAATGTCCTGCTGAAATACATCTACATATTTAAACTTAAAATA